TGAAAAAAAGTACAAACGTAAACTTAAGTGTGCAAGGAATAAACACAGATTGGAAATGACAAAGAAATTGAATTTTTTACGCACAAGAAATCCTAAAAACATTGGAAAATTCTGAATACTAATAAGAGTAAACCAAAATGTAATGCTGATATTCAGGATCTATTAAATTTTTACAAGTAATGTGGTAATTGAACTTCAGATAATGAAAATCATTATGTATTAACAGAGGAAGAACTTCAAATGCTCTCAAATGTAGAATTAAATCATGTTATAAATCAACCTTTTACATATGAAGAGGTATCTAAATGTATACGTATGCTTAAATATAATTTTTTGCGAAGATCGAGTATTTAATGAATATATTAAAAATACCACAGAAAACTTAACTATATGTATTATTATTTAACCAAATCTTTGAGTCAGGTATATTCCCATCACAATGGTTGGTTGGTAATATGATACCCATATATAAAAATAAGGGTGGTAGTACGGATCCAAAGAATTATAGACCAATTACCTTAATTAGTTGTCTGGGTAAATTGTTTACTTCTGCTTTGAATGAAAGATAAAGTACATATACAGAAAAAATTCTCTTATACTGAAAAATCAAGCTGGCTTCTGCAAATATTTTTCCGCTCAGAATCATATATATTCTTTGTATTCTATAACAGAAATTTACAAATCATTGAAGAAGAAATTAAATTGTGCATTTATTGACTTTGAAAAAGCTTTTGATTCTGTCTGGCATATAGACTTATGGAACAAGATCTTGATGAATAATATAGATGGAAAGTGTTTTAGAATAAATATGTACAAAAATATCAAGTCCAAAGTATTTTGTAATAGACAAAGTTCTGATTTTTTTCCCTTGTAAGACAGGTTGAAAACTTGTCATCTATTCTGTTTTCACTGTATGTCAATGATTAAGAAGAATTTCCTGTTGCAAATGATGTCAATGGTTTAACAACATTGTCAGAGAAAATGGATAAGATATTAGCTTATATGTGAAACTGTATGTCTTGTTATATGCAGATGATACAATTTTGCTCTCGGGAGACCAATATGATTTTCAACATCGATTAGATATTTTTTCAAAATATTGTGAAAATGGCATTTAAAGGTGAATATTAACAAAACTAAAATTGTTATTTTTGGTAGAGGTAAAATGAATCACAATATAGTTTTTAGATATAATGAAGTACCATTGGAAATTGTTAGTGAATACAGATATCTTGGTGTTACATTATGTAAAAGTGCGTCAGTAAATATTAATACAAAAGAGTTGTATGACAAAGCAACAAGAGCAATGTATGGAGCAATTAGTAAATGTAGAAGATACAATTTATATAAGAAATGTAAGCTTGACCTCTTCGATAAAGTTGTTAAACCAATTTTGTTATACACTTGTGAAATATGGGGTTTTAATAATTCTTTGTTAATTGAAAAACTACGTCTTAAATTTTGTACACATATCTTAAATGTGAAGTCATCTACCCCAAATATAATGGTATATGGTGCACTGGTAAGATAGCCATTGTTTATTAATATTAAGGTTAGAATGATTACTTTTTGGGCTAAGTTGATTGCATCAAACAATTCAAAGGTATCTTCAAAACTTCAAAACTTCTGACACTAAATATGAACAAAAACGAAACACCATGGTGCAAATTTGTACAACAAATTTTAAATGAATGTGGTTTATCATATCATATATTTGGAAATGTAATACGGTTAATGTCAAACGGTTAAAAAATAAAGTATATCATACTTTTATAAATCAATTTAAACAATCATGGTATAGTGAAATGTCCAATTCACCAAAAGGACTTTTAAAATAACATGTTATTTAAGAGTACATTATCCTTTGAGAAATGTTTTGATATTTTACCATTGACATTTTTGAGAATTTTTTGTAAATTTAGAACTGGTAACGCTAGGCTCCCTATTGAAACAGGGAGATAGCACGGTATTCCTAGAGAATCAAGACTCTGTAATCTATGTAATTGTAAAGAAATTGGTGTTGAGTTTCATTATTTGTTCAATTGTACTGATGACATGTTAAAACAAGCAAGGTCATTATATTTATATTTTTATTATACTGTGAAACCGAATGTATATAAATTTGAGAATTTGTTTAAAATCACAAAAAAGAAATAGTTGATAAAAGTTTGTAAATTTATACAAAAGATTATCGAGAGAGTTCGCTCTCCTGGTTAAATTTTTTTCCCCACGCAATATGCATTGTCATCTGTATTTGTATTAATTTTTGTTCTCTACAACTGTACCAAGTTTTATGAGAATAAAGGTATTGTCATTGTCACTGTCATTGATATTTACCCAAATTAATCCAGTTTATGTTGTATATTTTTGTTTATTAAATGTAAATGATTTAAATTTTGAAAGATGTTCTGTTGTAAATAACCAATTAAAAGGGAATTTGGATCAACATCCTGCACGCTTGGTCATTAACATGATACGTTTTAAACATCCGAGACAGAGACGAAATGGATGTAGATTATTTCATTTTCTGTGGTATGACCCATACTAATTAAAAAAAAATTAACTTGTTTTTATTTACCTGGCATGTGAAAAAATTCGACGCGCTGGAATGTACAAGGAACTCAGATGTTTTACCTGTGTAATGAACATTATTTAAGAATTCCAACCTGGGCAGATTTAAGTAGACCGTAAAACAATTTGAAAAAGCAATTTGAAATGTCAACAATGTCATCAATTTTCATGTTGAAACACTCCTACTTTTTTCGCAGTACAAACTGTCGTCATAGTATTCTTGATAAATTATTCATGTAAACGATCACATATATAGAAGAAAACGTCATCTTTAGTTTACATACATGTAGTTACATTCTATTGATAACATCTTATATATACAAAGGATGCCATTCGTCTGACGCTTTCTATTTCTTCAATTGTAGAATCTATCTGTCTCATTGATGTTTTTAAATATAACCACTGATTGAGATTTAAATGAATTCCTTCTACTGTTGCATTACGTCCTTTAAAACGTTGAATATCTATAGACAATTGTTTTTTTTTATCACAAATAAGCACAAACATGTCCTCGCTCAGTGGCAATTTATTGTTGTAGGGACGCGATAGTAGTACTGCTGTTAAATTTTCGCTCTTCCATTGATTGCAATTACGGATTTCCAGTACCTTTGCTATATTTCTTCCCTCTCGTTTCTCCTCCAGAATAACACTGTTAACGGATAAGAGTGTCATCATAGCAATTATCGTACTATAAATAATCACCGCTTCGATGAACTCTGTCAGACTGATTTAATTCCTTTTCACATTCCGTAACCATCAGATTGCTAATCGCTGAACTAGATTCCATGTTCTTCATTCAAAACAATACAAGAATAAAAAAGGCGTTTTTCTGTATACTTCTCCTTCTATAGTTAACAGATGTTAACCCCCCTTTCTTATTGGTTATCTTCATTTTTATACATACACTTTTTTATTTATTTCTTCCAATATAAGTTATAAATTTATTTGTACATGTTTTTTTAACTACTAAAAAATCCTCAAAAATCCATCATAGCTTCTTTCATATCATCTCCTGAATGTAAAACTATTGAAAACAGGAAAGTGTTTTACATAAAAACAATGGAGTTAACAAGACGAAATCCATAAATAGCAACATGTACGTTTGTAAAACCACGAAATGAATTTAAAATTGTAAAGGTGAATTTTAAAAAATGCAGGAATTAACAAGAAGATCTTACTACGTATAATACCAATCATTGAGGTCAACAGCCATTTAAAAGTATGAGAATTGTTATTTTTAATGACAGTTATGATTTAAGAACCCTCTCTACACTGCACAGTGAAGAGTTCTGATTCTTTAGTATTTTTCTGCAGTTAGAGTGATCTGCCCTTAGATCTAAATTCCAATAAATTGAAATTTACAGTATATTACTCAATTTGTAATCAGTTCAAGCATTCGTAACATTTCAGATAGCCAAGATAAATTACTTGAACACTTTATTCGCATGTATTTTCTCCACGGAAGTAAACAATAGTGATTTCTGTTCATTGAAACTTGATTGTCTTTGAACATTTTTCCTGGGGGTAAATGCCACGCACCATATATTGAAAATTAAATTGATAAGCTCAATATTTACAACTTTATTCAATATAATTTACTCAATGTCCAAAAAATATTTTGCACAGGTGTATAGAGGGTCCTTAAAATTTAGTTCTATGCATTTTTCTTTAAGGTCCTCTTACAAAATGTTTAACTTTTTAGATAAAAGTTCTATTTCTTTAGTTATATCATCAAACTGTTTCTTAAAAGTTCGTTGAAAACTTTTTTAAAATAAGTTCTCTTGTCAACTGGTCTTGCTCTTTCTGCATATTATACAGAATCAAATTATCAGGACCTAGATTTCCATCATCAGTGCCCATCTTTTCCCATTTTTTAAGCTTTCCCCACTTTTTAATGATTTCCATTTCAAATGGGACAGAGGAAAGGTGTGGGTAATTTGTATTGTATCTCCCACAAATACCACTTACATGTACATTAAGTGTAGAATCCCGGAATTATGCTTTCTGGAATATGTCGGTTTTGTTTTCTACTGTATTCCGGATGTGTTTTAAGGCACCAGCAGACGATCAGTGTCAACGTCATGGGTGCCAAAACTTTACCCATTTTCTGTGTATAAGACCATCTATGAAGTAAGTCCTGTGTTATTTCTTTTACAAGGATGTCAGTGCAGCGTATAGTGCTTGATATCACACGAATTTTTTAGCTGTTACCTTGAGTGAAAGCGCATTTGGCGCGCTTAAGTCTGTCTGTGTGTCACTCGTTAATTTTGAATTTTTGATTCACACCCATCATTATTGCATTATTGATATTCTGTAAACATACTAGGAAATAACTATATTTATTGTCTGATTATTATTTTATTGAAGTGATTCCGATACATATGTATATTCAAATGTAATACCCTGTACTTCATTCGATTTTTTGCCAGAAATGTGGAGGGTCGATGGAAAAACAGATCCATGCTGGAGCTAATGAGGTGGCTTCGCTGAAAAAGAGCAGAAACTTCAAAGTGCACGTAGATAGACATCAAAGACATAAGGATCGGAGGAATGAGAAGAGGGGAAAATCTACAGGAGCCATAGGAGGGACAGACAGAGCTTAGGATGCAAGAACTAACAATTATGCCAAGTATTATACTTGTGCATGAGTTTGGATATTTGCAGTGAAACATGAAAAATCCTGAAAAGTGAACTTTCTTGATACTAGGAATTTGCAGTGTGTATCTTCTTACAGAATATTTTGTCAACTGAAAAGGATATGTTTAATAAATTGCAGTTAAATATTTTGAACATTCTTTTATCCAGTTTGAATTACGTTGGTACAATGTATCTTTGAGGTTTATGTAGTAACAATGGCCCAACAGGTTTCCACTAGTGGGCCAACAAAATAACTACCTAAGTCCAATGTGAGTCCAATATTGGGCCAACATCTCTGCATGTTGGGCCAATGCAATGCCAATATAACTACCTTAAGTCCAATGTAAGTCCGATATTGGGCCAACGTCCATTTAATCACAATGCAATGTTGGGCCAATGCAATGCCAATATCTTGGCTCAACAAATGCCCACTTTGCACTTGCTGGCCAACATTGACATTCATCATTGGGCCCACAAAATGAGCTTTGTTGGCCTAACGTTGGGCCAACATATTGATGCTGACTGGGGACGTTGAAGGAGAAGACCTGAACACTTTGTCAGAAATGATGATGTCGTGATAGAGAGCTAAAAGGCAATATGACAACCATCTATCCTTCCGTTTTCACCAAATCGGATGTGATAAAAGAATTAGACTACATGAACAATATGTTATTGTTTCAGCATACAAGGCTTGTAATAATTAATGTCGTCTTAGGTTGTAAGGCGCGTCATTATAACTCTATGTTACAAGAACTTGGTTTTCATTCTACCTCTGGAAATCCAACATATACTCATAATTAACATTCTAAGGATGAAATTCTTCAAAATCACATTTCATTGTTTAATACTTTTAAAATTCAGCTCGACCATGTAGACTTGTTCTACACTGGATTCCTAAAAAATCTTTACAACTTTACAAAAATATACTGCCTGGTCCAGTATATGCTCTACCAAGCCCCTATCTTTACTCCTAACCAAAATATTAACATCTGTAAAGGAGAAACTTCAGACAAATTCTGGAAGTGGTGTGAATCAGATGAGGAGTATCAAAAACTCCAAACCTTAAGAAAATTTAAAATCACCATATGAGTGTTTTTGTATTTTAAAGTCAATAACATCAAAACGTACCACATTTTTACACTGTATCGTGTTTATAAAACCGTTCTTCATAATAAATTAACTAGGTTTTTTGATATCATAGACAATGCTTCTTCCAAAAAAATGGGACTCGGAAATTTTCATGGCTTGTGATCGGCCATCAATAAAATTTCCCTGTTAAGTATGTAATGAGTCGAAATCATGTGTTTCTTTTACGATAATTGTATCACAAAACAAAAGATTTATGTGAAATATGAATATAGCAAATGGAATTGACACCATGGTAAATTCTTCAACATTTCAGCGCATTCGTGCAATAAAGAGGAAGAAGTGAAGCAATATTTTCTTGTTGGGTTATATACAATTTTTTTTACTTTTATTTTTCTCCATAAAAGTAGATTTCTTAGGTTCTGAAGCCTGTAATTTTCTGAAACCTTTTTTCTTCAAGAACTGAACAAAATGTTCATGTGTCATGCAAAAATTCTACTTTTGTCAATTTTCCCGTTCTTCCGTCATGGTGTCTCTTTAAAAATCATTCTAATTCTATACACTAGTACTCTTAAGTTGATATTAAAAAGATGCCGGAATTCCTCATTGACAATTTTTTAGTAGTTTGTTGGAAATGTCAAAGGGCACTTAATGTGTTTCTTTATTAGCTGACCTATTTTTTTTCCTATGAAGCAGAATTTGTTAAAAAAAATTATTTCTACATAAGAAGAAAATACTTCATGTTTTCAACTCGACATCCAGATTTATCAATTAAAAATAGTTATTTTCATTCATCATGTTCATATGTCGATTCAACATATGCTAGTGAACTCTAAATAAATGATACCACAAGAGTCTGACATATCTGTTTCATGTTTGGATGTTTGACTGATTATAGGCAATAAGGGCCAAATAAGAAGTGAATCACAAACGAGACAACTTCGCCTTTTCCATCGTCAACATTCCTTATTATGCCCCCCTTCGAAGAAGGGAGGGCATAATTTGCCTTGCTGCTGTCTCTCAGTCGGTCGGTCGGTCTGTCAGTCCACCTACAGTTTCCGTTCATTTTCTTCGCAGAGGTTGCACATGCTGAAATCAAATTTGGTATACAAATTTATCATAAAAATATCTAGTTCAAGTTCTGTTTTGGGTACGATCGAGCAATTTTGGGCAGAGTTATGCCCATTGAACTTAGAAAAATTCCAATTATTTGCAGTTTTTATTCATTTTCTTTGCATAGGTTGCACATACTGAAACGGAATTTGGTGTACAGATTTATCATAAGAATATCTAGGTCAGGTTTTGTTCTGGGTACGATCGAGCAATTTTGAACAGAGTAATGCCCCTTGGACTTAGAAAAATTTCAATTATTTGGGGGGGGGGGGGCATAAGTGTTTCACAAACATCTCTTGTTTATGTAGTAATGTACTGCTGTCATGCATATACATATGATGTTTATTTCTCCCACCTTTTTCGATACTCAGGGAGCATACTGAGAATACGATCAATTTTTAATTGGACAGGTAAGTTGATGTTACATGGATTTAAAGGTAGAATTTCGAGAATACTACAGTCGATATTATGACCTTGTTAGGAAACACAATTCTATCGTTGGGTCGTATTTTGATATCAATTATTATATTTTTGTTTTTTTTACTTCCAGAGGTACATGTTTTATGCCTTGTTCACAGATTTGTTTTGTCTGAAGATTTTTTTGTGAGATCGATCACTGTTCGGTATCTTCGTCTCTTTCATTAGGGATAACAACAATGTCACCTTTAGAGTACTTAAGTTCAAATCTGCGAAAAATTAGTCTTTAGTCAAAGGGACAAACTATCACTATGTTAAAGGTTCTTGTTCTTAGGAAATTTTGAACTCTAAATGATGCATCTACAACCATGGAACTTGTCAAATGAACATTGCATTATCGATCTAATGGATAGAATAAAAAATATTTTTTTTCTAATTTCATTTTTAAAATATAGCACTCTAAAACACATCTAAAACCGCATGGTTTTAGTTACATAATTAGGTATTGTGCCGTCCGTCCACTTTAAAAATGTTTAACAACTTAATAGTTTTTGTGTATTTTTTAGTCATAGTTTAGAATTTGAAATTTTACAAATAAGTGTGCCTTTTTTCTTGATGCATTAGTATGGTTGAAGAAAAGTTTAAATGTCAAAGTATATTTTTGCATTTTTGACCTCTTGTCATTGACCTTGGAGTTTGATTCACTTTTGCAAAATTTATTCATCTTTAACCTTGGCCATAACTTTTGAACGAATGATGTTAGGGCTTTTAGACTTCACATATGTATTCCATGTGAAAAGACCTTCCCTTGGGTACCAACAATTTTGACCCTTTGACCATGACCTTTGAGGTTGAACTACTTTAAAAATTTTATAACCTTCGCCAAAACTTTAAACTGTTTAAACATGGGTTATCATATTTCATAAAAGTTTTCTTTGTGACATGACCTTCCTTTTGGACCCAACAATTTCGACTCTTTAACTTTGACCTTTGATTTTGACCTTCTATGAAAAACTTTAACTTTGGCCATAACTTTTGAATGGTTGGTGCTATGGCTTTCATATTTCACCTGTGTAGTTCTTGTAACAAGACCTCTTTTTTGGCACCACTAATTTTGATCCTTTGACCTTGACCTTGGAGTTTGACCTACTTTTGAAATTCTTTAACATATGCCATAAGTGCTATCGTATTTCACAAGTGTATTCCTTGTGACATTGACTTTCTTTCCTTTGATCTTGGAGTTTGACTTGCATATGAGAAACTTTAACTTCCGCTATAAGCTGCCATACGGGGGCATCAGTGTTTATCTGAACCACCAACACGGGGGCATCAATGTTTATCTGAACCACCAACACATCTTGTTTTTACACCTGTAAGTGAAGCGGTCACCCATCCAAAGTTTATTCAGGCTTGTCGTTGCTTCCCTAACAAAAATTTACTGTAATAGACAACTATAGTTTACTATAGTTAACTCAGTAAAAAAATTGATATTTTGATTTACTACCGTAACGAAATTTTCACAATACAACTTTTTTTTTTGAGATTTCAAAGCTTAAAATCTCGAAAATTCGATTACAGTGGAAATAATATGTGAATATACAAGTAATAGCATGTACCAGAGTCATTCATATCTTGTCAGTGAAAAATCAATCAAGCTTACTTATGCTCTATGTTAACTGCGTTAACTAAGTACATTTACATCTAAATTTAAACTGTGTATAGGACAGAAATTGTTAATCTGCTTTTGGACCAAAATGAATAAATTTGTTATATAATTGACTAATTCTTATCTCTCTAATTGGCTGAGATCCAACAATTAGAAAAAATACTATGTTTTGTCACCTTCCAGGTAAACATAAGGATTTATTTCTCCATATTGGTCGAAAAATAGATCGGGAATTTCTAAATTGATAATAGTTTTGGAAAGCTATTTCACTTGCTACTGACATCCACTAAGGTGAATATAACATTAGGGAATAACGAATTTTGGGTTGTGGGGGATGTAGCCCCCCCCCCCCCCCCCCAAACGATTTTTCTGAACGTAAATTTTTACTTGTAATATTTTAATTTAAACTAAAAATATTCATTGAAAGGCTGGTCCCCCACTAATGGACCCTAATCCTCTATCCCAAAACAAAATAAGAAGTTAAGAGAGTTCTCATAGTCAAAGATTTTTTTCAGCTGTCTTTTTTCCTGATAATGCCCCCTTTCACAATCCATTCTGTAAAAGAGCCTGATATTATTTATCTTTTTTTTTTCATAGCAACTAAAGTAATAAAACTGGTAATGTTTATTTAATCCTGCTTTTCTCATTGCATGTGGCTAGGATTTCAGCAAATGTAAACAAGTA